AAGGACAAAATGATAAATTGAACATTTCTCATCTATCCCCATATTTTATTTTTATATATATTGTACTTATATAAGTAGATGAATGTTGATTTTAAATGAAACTCACGGATATAAATAAATAAATAAATATATATATATAGTCACCTTTTAAGTTTAGAGTTCATTTTTCATATTGGAGTACTCATAATTTTGGGTTAACTAAATTAAGTTTAATAAATCAAAAACTCGTTTACATATATAATCATATTAAAAATATAATAAATATTATTTTATATGATAATTAATCTACTATTATATTAATGCAACCTTTAATATATTTTATTATATAATTATAATAAAATTACATCTATATATGTGAGCTTAGATTTTAAGTGATAAACTTAATTTCAACAATGTAAGTTAAGTAATTAAACTTAATTTGATTAATGTAAAATTTTAGATACTCCATTATAAAATAATAAGTATTACATTTAATGAATATTAAATGAAGTTAAATTATATTAAATTGTACTATATTAAATATATAAGGGTAGAATTGGCATATAGCTAAAAATATAATAGATTTTTATTAAGAGAATTAATTCAACATGAAATTGAAAAATGGGTATTGTTTAAGGAATTCAAATGAGGCCTTAAATAATCTTTATAGAAATTATTATTTTTTTAATTTAATTAATAGCACTACACTTAAATAGATATTAAATGAAGTTAAATTATATTAAATTGTACTATATTAAATATATAAGGTTAGAATTGACATATAACTAAATATGTAATGGTAAAAGTGGTATTCAAAAGTTTCTCCTCAATCCACACTTTTAATATATTGTAAATATATCTGACCTGCCCTCAATAAAAGCCTCAATAAAGACATTTCCTCTAATCTTTCCACTTCTCCAACAATTCTATGTAAAGACAATCTTTCACCTTTTTTTAAACCCTCCTCATTTCAAAAAATTGGTATTAGTGCTACTTTTCAGTCAATATTATGTAGTTTATGAAATAAAATAGATTATTTAGATTTAGAGCTTCATGAATATCTTAAAAAGAAAAGATTGTTTAAACACAACTCTTTTATTTAGAATTTTGATAAAAAATTTAAACATTTTTCGCATTCTAAAGATAAGTAGTTAAACAATATAATAGACTTAATTGTAAATCTAGGAGAAAATTTAGATAGAAATATTTCAACAGATAATAGAAAAATAGAAACTGTATTAGAAATATAAGTAACAATATAAAAACCTTATAAAATAATTAAAATATATTAAAAATATGAATATTGAAATATTAAACAAGAACTTTTGTGATATAAGTGAAATAGATTTTAAAATCTCCTTAGATAATTTTTTTTTAAAATAAATTGAAAATTTATAAAAAAAAATAAATTAGATTTTAATAATTTACAAAAGATAAGTCTAGAAAAGTTAGAAAGTAGAATATTAACATTGAAAAAAGAAAAGTCAATAGACACTCCTAAACAAGATTTAGACATCTTAATAAATAAAATAAAACAATTAAATTTAGGAAAAACTAAAGAATCTTCTATAGTTAAGAAGACTAAGTCGATTTATACTTAATGGATAAAGGAAAGCAGATTGTGACTAGTTGTAGTTGAATAATAGGTTATCCGTTAATAAGATCATTAAGAAGAAAGATGGAATAAAAAATAAGATTAGAGACTTTAATAGATATTAAGAATAGGTAAAAAAAAAAAATTCAGACAAAATAAATTAAAAATAGTAAAAGCCTTTGATGTATACAACAAAGGATATATATTTAGGAAATCCTTAATATATCAACTTCTGGAGAAAGATATTTTCATGTCTGCAAGAAGATCAGCTAGTGTCTTTAAATCTAATAGAAAAAGACTCGTATAAAAAATTGTTAATAAAAACTTTCAACTAACCAATTTAGAATTAACAATATTCAGAGTATAAGGATTACACAGAGAAAAATTAAGAGCTCAAATATTAATGGGTATATGATAGCAGATTCATATCCATAGATATGTGTGTGTGTAGAAAGACATTCAAATATGAATAAAAGCTAGAAGATGTCAAATAAAAAGAGATGAATATAATTTATTAATTTGTACATGATTTTAGGGTTGACAACGGTTCGGTTCGGAATAGGTTCGGTCAAAATCATCACCGAACCACCAATTTTTTGGCCATATCATAACCGCAACCACGTAAATCGGTTTGATTCTTATCTCGACTTGGTTCGAGTCGTTAATAACCTTGAAAATAAATTATATTTTTATAAGTCTAGCCGTTAAAATAAAAAATAAAAAACAATTTATGAAAAAAGCTAAAGAAAACAAAAACATAAAACTAAGTCAATGTAGCAAACAACATCCCAAATGAAAATGTAAACAATATCCCAATTCTCAAATGAAAAATTCGAATTTAACAAACAATATTATCAACATAACAATACTAAACAATATCATTGTCCATTGATCCTTGTGCATCGAACTTGATTTATACTCAATAACTCAAAAGTTCCAACGCCTATTCATATTCAATCTTCATTCTTAATATCATTGTGTTCCTCCAACAATAAAACTTAACCACTCTAGGTAGACTAATTTCATTAAATTCATCTTTTATGTGGAGAAGAAAAAATCACATTTCATCAAATACTCAAACTCAATAAAAACAAAAATAGAAAACAGATTACAGTAACAGCAATTAGCAAACAAGAAGATGAAAAAAAATACCATTATATTTGGGGATGGCAATGGCGAGCAAAAAAGAATATGGTGTGGAGAAGAAAAAATTTTGGGGACGCACTACAGAGACTCGAGTAAAGATGGCTGTCGGCTAATGGCTTGTTGAATTTGATTCTAATTTTCTTTGTGGTAGGATTGGTACTTAGTGGGTAAATGATAACTGGGTTAGGTTACTTAATGAGTCAATAATGGACCATAAATTTTGGGTTAGACAAATTATAATAAAAAGAATAATGAAAAGCCCAATAACTCATTTTTTTTAACGGGTATTCGGATCGGGGCGGGGCGACGACGCAAATACTATACCCACCCGGTCCCGAACCAGGTTACTAAAATCAAATACCATATCCGCCCCATTGTACTATCGATTCGATTTTTTTCATCTCATTCGATTCAGATAACCGCAGTCTTTGGTTTTGACTATTCGAATTACCATCCTTACATGATTCATAGGAAAGCTTAATGAAAATAGCACTATTAATTATAAATTAAAAAATAATCAAATATTTACTTTATTATGACGAAAAGGTATAAAAATCATCCTACCAAAAAATTTCTTTTCGAAAATAAGTAAAATATTAGATTGAAACTTAGGAAACTTTTTAGAAAGACAAATATTAGTATCAGAAGATAATACTATATACAAAAAGTAATGGAACGTCAAGCATTAGATTTGAAAATTATAATTATCAAGTAGAACATACAAAACAAAACAAAAATGAAAATGAAGATGAATGTAAATATATTGAAATAGAATATTATGAAAGTGATGATAACTTAATGCATTAAATGGAGATGGTGAAGAAAATGAAAGTGAAAATGATGAAAAAGAATTTAGATATATAAATATGGAATATTATATGAATTTTAGAAAATCTAGAGAAGTAGAAATCAAAACCTTATTATAAGAAAGAGATCAAAGTAATGTAAAAATTAAGATGGAAGAAAGTACTGAAAGTAATAAAAGACCTGAATCAAAAACGAGTTTAGAAAAAGAAAAGAACTTATGAATAAAGAATACAATATTGGAGGAAAATGCCACTTTCCCCTTTAAGATTATATGAAAATTAATTTTAAAAATAAATAAATGCAAGCCTCAAGACTGACCTAGCATAATAACTAAATGAAAAAAATTCTTATAGTGTATTTATACAAATGATTGTAGAAGGAATGTGAGCTTTCTCAGAAACTTAAGCAGAAAAAAAAAATAGCATTAAGCATTTACAACCAAAAGACTAAAATAGAAGAAATTAGATTAAGAATTGTCGAAGGAGATAATCTCAGAAATCTTTCTAGCTTTATTAGAGAAATAATTACAAGAACTGACCTAATAGAAATAATCTTTATGAACAAAATAAAACTTAGAAGAATTTTTAAAAAATAAAAAATCCTACAACTATATGTTTCAAACTCAAGTGCACAAGTTTTAGCTCTTTGTTTGATTTTGATTTTTCAAGCGGTTTTATGAAAAGTAACGTTGTTTTGTATATTGTATAGTTAAAAAGTAAGAAAAAAGTTATGTGTTCATATGTAAAATTATTTTATTAAGAAAATTTGTATTAAAAATAAGATAATTATATTCACGCAAAAATTTTTATTTTTTGTACCAAATTTAAATTGCACTTAAGGTTCTCACTCTTTTCTCATTATATCACTTTACGTCTATAACGATTTTTTATGATATTTTTATCTTTAAACTTCTCATTAGTTAATATATTTTGTATTTAATAAGAATTTGCGTCCAAAGAGTTAGTTGACATAATGTAAAACAACTTATTTTCTCATCATATTTTTTTAAAAATAAATAAATAAATATTGCATAAAAATATTTTTTTCCTCATTTCAAAGAATGAAAACATAATATTTTGGTATAAATAATCATTAATGACAAAATGTACTAATTAATATAGTGTTGAAGATAAGAATTTGACGGAAAAAAATTAGGAAACTGATTATTATAATAAGCAAGATTGAAGAACTTAACTACAATTAAAATTATGGTTCCAATATAACCACTCTTAAAATAAGCTCAGGAGAAAAGGTATTTTGAAAAAAAAAAAAAGACCTCTCTTTCTGGTAGATATTATTTAAAACTCATTTTTGATAACATATTTTTTTAATGAAATAATTTTTATAAGTGAATTCATAATTTTTTTTTTACTTCTTTTTAATTACCTATTTTAAAAAATCATTTTGACAAAAGCTATTATGAAAAAATCTAGGACAAACAAACAGGGATCTTATTTGTAATATATGACGTTTTACTCGAAGCCAATTAGTAGAATCAATAATTAATCGAAGAAAACCGTCGTCAGAGTGGACTCTCTCTCTGTTCAAATTCTCTTTCCTCAAAACTGAAGGCATTTACCAATCGATCGAATCGAAATAGCGTTGAATTCCTGAACATACAATCTAAGGTTGTTTACTTTTTGACAAAATTGGGAATTTGACTAGATTTCTAATAACAATTCACCTAATTCGAAGCGTATTTGTCGTTTATTCAACTCTGATTATGCATTTCTCATGTTAATTTTTTGTAATTCAGGGTTTCTTGTGGGACTTTTCAAGTTGGAAGAATATGGCTTTAGCTTCTGATGATCGTCAAGCCACCAGCATCTGCAACCACTGGTTAGATATTGTTACTTTTTCGGACGATACTTTAAATGGGGTTTCTTTTTTTCTTTTTTTTGGGACAATCTTTATAGTGTTAAATTAGTTCTACCTGTACACATTCAGAATGATATTCGTGTTTTGGAGATTGTACCCTTTCTCAAAAATTTACCGAGCCTGCATTAGTAATACCTGTTTGTATATTCATTTCTAATTTGCACATTTTTAAGAAATTTTTGCCTCATTTTTTAGTTGTAGATTGTCAGACGCGTGATTCTCAGAACTGTTACAAGAAAAAGTTATTACTGATACGCTTTTTGTGCGATTCTTTGATGCCACTTATATGCCACTCATAAGATTTGGTTATAAAATATTGTACTTTAATGTTGGTTATGTCCAAATTGATGGCATAAATAATCATTTTATGTAATTTAATGTTGATTATTTCCAAATGATGGCATAAATAATCGTTTTATGCTAATAATTACCAGATACTAGGCTCACAAAATTAATAATCTGGGCTAATTATTATAATGAGCTGTGAAAAAAAAATTTAGCTGGTAGAAATGGTTCTAAAATGTTCGTAATCAAATTTCAAAACAGATTAGCAGCTGCTGCTTCTTATGCTAAATAATAAAAAATGTCATGCTAATATGCTGAAACCTCTGATTGTAGTGCAAAATGAAATCTCAACTCCATGTTGTTCAAGAATAGTGGTTTTGCTTTTTTCAAAAAAGTGAACTCACTTGTTTGAATGATTTATTCTTGTTTTTGGTATCTAGAGATGCTATGGGATAACTGATTCTCAGGTTGAGGTCATTTTAACGTTTACGCTCATTGTTCAGAGTGGTTTAACTCCATGGAGAATCGAACAAGCTGACTTGGGGGTTGTCATTCTTCCGTCTATTCCGTACCCATTCGTTCATGTAGATGTTAATTGTCTCTGTGCATAATTTTGTTTGCAAAACCTTGTTGAGTTAGATCAAATCAGAAACACTAATTTGATAAGATTCTGGAATTGAGGATGGGATCAATCTACTTTATATGTTTTAGGGTAAAAAGTAGATATATGTAAATGAATTTTAGAGATTTTCTTGATACTTCTATTCACGAACATATGTGAATGAAAAAAAATCATAGTTCATGTTCAGTCCATCATGAAAGAATTTAGAAGTACATTTTCTGTGAAATATTTTTTTGTGCGCGTCTCATTGAATTAATAGACGATTATGACTGAGTGACAAGTTGAGCACTAAATTAATTAGAGGCTTGGTTCATCTGCTTTGTACTCCAAATTGCACTAATCTTTCACATAGGCTCCTCAGCCCTCATTTATGCACACAAGAAAAACTTGTCAGACTGTTGTATTGAATCATAAGCTTGAATTTCGAAATGCAGACGATATATGGTAATTGTGTCTTTGACGTTGATGTTACAAATGATCTTAATGCATTGTGACTTTTTTGATTTCGCTTCTCCACGCTTCAAGGACATAGATCTAATGTAGTTTAAGAATTATGCATTCTCTGAATTTCTTCCTACCATATCCAATGCAAATGCAAGAGCGTGAACCATGACCAAAGAAACAAAATTCCGCTGGAGATGAATATAAAATGCGCGTTAATGTCCAGTTCCCAAAATATTTGCTTTTTCTTTTAGAAGTAGGATCGCAAAAGAACTAAGCCAAGCCAAGCTTGGAGCAACCACCATTACTTTCATCTATTTATCCATAATTTCGGGGAAGGCTCATAGTGACATGCTTAGAAAGTTAGTGTTTTATTACTTAATTTGCTTATTTTGATAAGTGACAAATAAGAACGAATCTGAATTATCTAAGCATTCACTTTTAGCAGTACCTGTCTTGCATGCAGACACCTGTTTGTTTAATTTATGGATGAAGATCCTTGTTAGCTCTAACTGGTCATTTAGCATATTTTTAGAACTCATGTATGAATGGAGTTTTGAGTTTGCTTGGGACTGGTATAATGTAATTATTTTATTGCCTGCTAATTATGTACAAATGAATTATTTAGTCCAGTACTTGAGTGTTTATAGAACAATTTCTAATTTATATCTTTTAAAATAAACTAGTTTTTTTTCCTGAAATGTTTACTGTGTTATTGATAGTTGTTTAATGTTTGTCAATGAACTGGCTTACTAACTGTTTCGTGTTTGTTGCATCATTGTAATTGTCAAGTTGGTCTTCGTCGTCGTCATTGTTATTATTATTATTTTACTTTCAACCTTGGTAAACATTTGCTAATTTGTGGAAAATATTACTTTCCAGTGATAGGGCAATTCCTTCTTTAAATATGGACCTGCATTTTGCTTACTGCTCCCGGAATCTAGAAAAATGTAAAGTCTGCGGTGGTATGGTTCCCAAAAAATTTGCAGAGGAACACTTTCTTAGCACTCATGCCCCGGTATGTGAGCATATGTTACCCAGTGAAATTCTGTGCAATAATATCCACTTGAGTAGTAGAAAAATTTGCTATATCAGTTTCTTTCCAGCATTAGCTGTCAATCCTTTTTAGGACCAATTTGTTTTACTTCTATGTCAGTAGCTTTATTAATATCTCATCTCTAAATTTTTGGCTTAGAATGTTGATTAGTTTATATCATGTGTATGCATGAGTTTGTGGGATGTGTTGTATCATGCTCAATTTTCAATATTCGTAAGCAAATTTATACTTGTGGATCATTGGGTGTTACCCGTGTGAACTATCATGGCATTGTTTATCACTGATCTGGTATGATGTCACATGTTTATTGGGATTTGTACAAAATCGAAATTTCACTCCATGAAATATTGTCCTGTACTTGGCTAAAATTGCATGTATCCTCTTTTCTACTTGGTACATCGAGGTCCTTTTTCAATAATTGAACCAAAGGGAGTCAACGGGTCAGAACCTTTTCAGTTAATTCACTATGTTTAATTCTTGGGTTTCCTGGTTTGCCATTAAAACTAGTCCTATCACTTTTCTTAATTGTTTCATCCTGCAATGTTCTCTTACTGTCCCCAAGCTATTGGGACCTGTACTTTTATACAAACTAAATAAATAAAAATGAAGTTAAATTTCTTTGGTGATTACACTGACAAACTTGCAACATTTAGAACTGGAGGGGAATGCTTGAAGGATGTTTTTTTCTGTCCATATGATTAAGTTACTAATTCAAGCTTTCAAGTGGCTGGAATTGGTATTAGAACTCCTGTAAGCATTCAGGGAGAAGGAAAACAAGAGCCCCCAAGTGTGATTTATGATTTAGGCATTTTTAATGCTAAATTAAGATGTTATTGATTAGAAGGTTTATAACCAACATCAAGGCATACCTCATGTTCAAATGCATAAAAAATCTGCAATAATTGATGAGCATGAGCTAAGTGGCACCTAAATACGTGTCCTATAAATCACCCTTTCTCATATCATCTTTAGAGGATCAGGCAACCAACTTATAAATCAAATTCTCTACAAAAGTCCCTGTAACAACTTGCAATACAATGACTACTATGGCCATCACAGTGGAGCACATGTTAATTTGAGTAAAGCGAAGAATCCTACTATGTCTTGACATGCCATAAGTGTAACGCCCCGAATTCTTGGAAACTGAAGTGTTAAAAATAATATTCGTTTCTTTATTTGGTTCGACTCCTTTGACACTAGCCAAAGTATTTTATAAATCCAATTTTTTTTTTAATATATAAAATATATAAAAATATAATGGAAGGTGGTTATCTATATAACTTAGGTAAATGTAGCAAAATTTGATTTTGTAAAAGATTTGAAGGCAAATCAACAATTACGGATTTAACGACAGCGGAAGAAAAATATATTTGGCCTAGCAAATATTTATTAAAATTTATGAAATTTTTACAGGGACTAAATCATTCATATATGTACCACATATAAAAATTTGGGGTTTTGACGATAACGTTTGAAGCACGAAAATATTACTCGAATATGTTGGACAGGAATATCGGATTCGACACGACGCAGTTTACTAAAACGGGCATAATTTTATTTTTAGATAATATTTTTGAGAAATTCCAAAGGCCACTATTAGAAGACTCATAGACCTTTCAAACCCAACTAATTTCACTTTAAAACATGCACTGTAGCCCAAGTTATGCTATTTTCAACTAGAAGGACAGAAGCTGAAATTTCCACCCAGCATAAAATAAAACTTCATACAAATCAATCTAACACTTTTAAACTCTTGTTAACATGCACTGTCTAAAAATGGAACAAAATAAACATTAAAAAACATTTCTAAAAGTTCATCTAAGTTCCATAAAATATTTACATAAATAAAAATATTTACTAGAAATTGAAAGCATTAGGGATTGTCGAACACTTGCCACTATGCCAACCACAGCCATGCCTGGATCTTAACCTGTAAAATTATTTGTAGGGATGAGTACTATAAATAATACTCAGTAAGAAACACTTAAGTAAACGGTAAAAATATATATTTTCAGAAATGCAAACTTTGGTCAATTGTGTCACCGTCAATTTCAAGCGAATTGGTGATCAGTTAGTCCGCTTACTCTTAGGTTTTGATAACCTCATTTCATTTGTCATAATCATCTCTTCGTCTCTTGTTTAAACTACCAAACGGTGATTCCATCATGAGCAATACAATAACACATTTAATGCAAATGAAAATATATAAATCTTACATCACTTACATAAGTGCCTAAACACCCCTACCTTAATGCTTGGAATTTGAATACCATTTTGCATTCAATAAGAAGTAAAAATGCAGCGTACTTCCTAGCCTTTTCTTCAAATAAAATTTCCAGATATAAGATGTTTTATGTCTAGGGAAGAAGGGAAAAATAATTTTATGCGGTTAAAGGAGGTGAAATTTGGCTTTTACAATACAATATGGCTTGTAAAACTAAAAAGGGACAAGTTTCTGAATTTTTCTCATGGTGTGGCTGTGTAGAAATTTAAAATGGGAGATACAAATTTTTAATTGCAATGGTGGTGGGAGTTGTATTTAAAATTAGAGGTTACACTTGAGGAAATGAGGGTAGTTGAAATTTTAAAATGTTAACTTCCAAATGGATATGGATAGGCACGTGTAGGTTATCATCCCGCTAACCAAATAGTAGTTTAAAAACAAAATGGCAGTTTTCTTCTTATTTATTTATTTGTATTTTTTTTTTTATTAATCAAAAATGGGGTTTAAATATTAAGGTAAGTTGGGATAGTTAATGTACTATAGAATAGGTTTCTAATCTAACTTTCAAAGATTTAATAGATATACAATAAAATGTGTGTCGTCAAAACAAAGCAACAAATAAAATTTGTCGTCTAAAGAGATTTTAACACCTTATAAAATTTAAGAAAATCAAGTACGCGGAATTTTATTTTCGTGACTAAAATTTAATTTGAACTATTAGGATGTGTCGTAACGACATAATAATATAACCCAAATTACATTTGAGTCCTGTAAGAAAATTTTATTTGAAACGAAACAAAACACATTTTTTTTCCGGTCGCTACAATCACTTGAAATTGACGGTGACACAATTGACCAAAGTTTGCATTTCTGAAAATATATATTTTTACCGTTTACTTAAGTGTTTCCTACTGAGTATTATTTATAGTACTCATCCCTACAGAGTATTATTTATAGTATTATTTTAACAGTGGAGCACATGTTAATTTGAGTAATTTAAGAATCCTACTATGTCTTGACATGCCATAAGTCCTTATCACTTAATCAAACTATGTCAATAAATGAGAACTAAAGATCCAGTAATAGAGCAGCTGAGATGGAATTTTTGGTGGATTTAGGCATTAAAATGGTAAAATTGTGAACATTTATCCAGAGATAGAAGTGTAATGAAATCTCTTAAAACCATTGCCACAAAATCAATATGTTTGTTATTTAGGTTCTGTATGGATGCCTGTTATATTGTGTTGTTTAAGTTTGTAAGTATGCCAATGTTATTTTCCTCAATCCTGTCAGAAGTTCAGCTGAGCCTTCCGTTACAAAACACTTTCCTGGATGTATTGGGTTTTTGCACTGTTAAATAAAATTTTTCACAGCACAAGGTTAGCCTTCAAAAGGATAGATTCATGCTTTCCTTTTATTTCATCATTTTATGATCTGTGGTTTGAAATTCCATTTTCTTACCCTTGTATATTTGTTTTCTTTGATGCCCTTCTAAAATCAATGTGTTCCCTATTTTGATTAGGCAATGCTCTTTTTCTTCATCACTATGTTTTAGGTGGAAAGTGATGAGACACATTCTTATTGCGCATTTCTGATAGACATTGTCTGTTAGTTCCTATTGCTCTGCACCTTTGTTCAATACGATCACCCTATCTCTAATTTTTGTCTTCTATCCAGATGAAGTTTTTCTGCTCTCTCTTCCATAATTCCATTCATGTTGAACTGCTGTACTTTCTTTGGTTTATTCATGAATAAAATAGTAAAGGAAAACAAGTCTTTAGCATCGACGACCCTGTCTAACAACCATGTTGACCTATAAGCATGTAGAGGTTCAATGGCTTCTGTCATGAAATGAGAGGGGAACAAATGTACGTGAACTGAAAATGATAGTCTTGCATAGACAACCCCGCTAACAACCATGTTGACCTATAAATGCAAGAATAATGAGACATTCATTTTCTGTTAATCCCTTTATGGTTTCTTTATTACTCGACATTTGGAACCTGTGTACGTTGGTTGATACTTGTGCTCTGTGATTTTGGTCTTGTAGACGTGGGAATGCAAGGCACATAAAATTGCCTTTTTTTATGTATTTAAAACATCATTTTATACAAAATAATATCATCCCCCCGCCCCCCAAAAAAAAGTCATATCCTCCATTCTTTTACGTGATAAAGACTGCCTTTGTTTCAACTTGCATGCTTATCCGTATAACTTCTGCATTTTTGTTCAACACATTTGAATCTAGTGGTTATCTTGAACCAGTGAATCTCCACTCTATGCTTTGGGTTTTATGACGGGTTTTCACACTAATGGTGTAGATGGATACTAATTGGACTCTGCAGACAAGAATCATTATTCTAGTGGTTCTTGCTAAATATTATCTATTTGATACAATAGACAATTGATTGACGTAATCTTCTTGGAGGCAAACACTCAGAAACATGCTTTAGCCTTCAAAATGCTTTCTTCATCCGTTCAAAGGACGCTATTCTTCCTTCCACGGACACCATAAAAAGCAAACCAAAGAAAGTTACCCTCCTGATCGATCATTTAGACAAGTGTATGTTGGAAACTTAACAACAAAGCAACAAATGTTGCTTCAGTAGTAGTTTATTAATATACAAGAGGATCGATTTACTCGGTCTGTGTTGCTGCAAACCAATGAGCTCTAGTACAGTTTTACCTATTACAATGTTCCTTTGAACATGCTATATACTCTTTCCACAAACACCATGAAAAAGCAATACACAGAAAGTCCCCTCCTGATCATATAGACGAGTGTAAGTTGGAAAAAGTTAAAAACTGTTGCAAAACTAGATTTTCTCAATTAATTTCGGGTTGGTTACTTGATTCCTTTTTTTGCATTCTGTTTACATCTGCATGTTTGGAAACATAGTGGTTGTAGGTGGTTAACCAGGAATACTCTCAATTGGGTATCTGATATCCCTTAAAATGAGGTGTTCATGAGTTAAATCTGAATTTATTTTTTTACTTTTTTATAATTTCAATACTACCTGTGGCTGTGTGCGACTATGTGGGGCTTAAAAGTACATGAATAGTGGTATAATGCTGGCCTGTGCTGGAGAAAATTTAAATTTGGGGGTGCTTACCCCCGTTATGAGAATCTACTCATAATAGAAATGATACACCACTTTGGTAAACAGAAATTGAAGTTGATTATGGCTTTCCAGAGAACATCAGGTATGTAGAGCTTATTTAATCATAGCAACCTGCCCAGGAAACCTTAAATCTTCTAGTCATTTTAAAATCTTGAGTTGTGGCGTTTTAAATCTGACCTTGGAGAAAAAATATGCAACCACATGTCCTTTTCCATAAATATGAGATATCACGAGAATGAAGCTAAAATATGCTTAATTTCCTGGATGATGTAATGGATACTCCATGGCCCTGCTTGTTCCAAAAGATGAAAGATATAGCTACAGCTGAATCCACTTCAATCCAGATATTTTTAAACCCACATAGTAAGAACAACTTGAATCCAGTAAACGGTGTCGTCAATTAAGAACTAACCTTTACTGTTTGGAAAATCCAGCATGATATGTTTATCTTATCATTGGATAACAACTTGTCATTGGATTTACATTATTTGGTTTCTGTGTGTGGTGACTTCTATACCTTGGTCAGGTAGCTTGTTCCCTGTGCACTCAGACAATGGAACGTGATATTTTGGATGTTCATAAAGGAGAAAAATGCCCACAAAGGATCGTGACGTGTGAATACTGCGAGTTTCCATTGCCTGCAATTGATTTATTTAAGCATCAGGTAGTGATTTTTTATATAAAAAAAATTTGGTGTTGTTTCATGATGTAATACGCACATCATCGATCACTCCAGGAAGTATGTGGGAACCGAACAGAGCTATGTCCTTTGTGTCGCAAATACATAAGACTATGTGAAAGGAATGGTCACGAAAGTAAATGCAACGGTGTTGTCTATAATGTTGCAGAATCCTCAAGGTAAGTAGAATTATTTAAGTTCTCAGTTTATATGCTCATTCTGTATTCAAAGAAAGTGATGATGGCTCTATTTGTTGCAGTGGCATATTTATAGCCTCTCATCTTGCTATAATATATGGCATGTAATGATTGATATACTCCAGGATATATGAAATTGAACATCCATCGATGTTTTTAAAAATTGTGAAATATAAACGATTGCTGAAACTTCGATGAAATTGTCAACCTTAGTTATCTAAGAGTCGAGGTATAAATCAAGATAACTAAGGTTAATATAAAACTTGTTATAGGTTCATAGCGATGTTTACTCATCTAACCCAAGCCTACATAATCAGATGTTATATTCTTGGTTTTGCTTTGCTTTGTCTCTATCTATTTCAAATTCTAATTATTTTTGTTGTCCTTGGATCTTAATTATTTTTCACCGGTGCTTCTGAAGGAACACGAGGCTACCTGTTAGAGACCGTGGTGGTGCTCAAAGAAGGCCACCACATGAGATTTCACCGAGGCTGCTGCTATATACCATTGCAATCACTGGCATCGCTGTTCTGTTAGGTTCGCTTTTCTTCCGGAGGAAACCAGGAGAAAACGAAGTGCACTAGTTCTGAAGAATGCTTATGCGTTGCTGATACGTGCCTTCTTTATTCTGTGTACTCCATTGTGCCTCATTCTACTTGTGTTTTTAATGCTTTTGAGAACGCCTTATCCTTGTCAATCAGTGTATGAGATGAGAATCGATATTTACTGAGTAAATATGATGTCTGTAAAGGGAGTTGATATTTGGTAACAACATTGTAATTGTAATACAATAAAATGTGTATTCTCAATAATCATACCAATGTATTCCATTTACTTGGATAATATATTCAATCTTTCTTAGGCTTTGTTTTGACTCTCATTTTTTTAAAAATATATTTTTCTCTCTTCTTTTCAATCACAGATTCTTCATTAAAATATTATTACACGTAAATCAAAACATTTTCTTTATTTTTTAACTACACATTTTTCCTCATTCTACTATTCTAAAATGTATTTTTTTTTAAAAATGATTGTCAAACACCCCCTTAGTCCCTTTTTTAACCAACATCGACGGTTTGGTTTCCGCTTGATCGCCTGGCACGGTCAATTCCAGTCTATAAAATGTGATCAATCAATCTTTCTTTTTGGATGACCAATACATTATTGTGGCAAATGTTAACTATGGAAATTTGTTAGGTACTGTTGTGTTACTTGTTCGTAATGGTTTATATAATTAATGACATATATAGATGATGTAGTAAGATATAATTGGATCAGATTTTTTCAAAATAAAAATAAAAATTCCTCCATTCTCTGTTTTGACACATTAATTATAAATTATTATGTAACTCCATCGTGTACAAATAGACCTTGTTTGGCCTCCATTAAATGTCATTACATTATATTTTTCTTTTTTCTATTTTCAACCACACAATCTTCCGTAAAATAATATTATACGAAAATTAAAAAAATTTTCTTCTTTTTCAACCATTCAATTTTTTCGAAAAATGGGGGCCGGCCAAACAGGTAAAATTATTTTTGTTCGGCGATACCAAGATCCAAAGAAAAGGAGGTGATTTGACACCTACCACTACTAGTGTGCACTGTAATAGTTGATAAAATGAATAGAAAAAGAAATCAAATTTTCAAGGTCTGGACTGGAGATATACAAAAGTGTCACTATACAACAAAGAATTGCTCTGGTGGTCGACGCAATATTTACTGATAGAACAGAACAGTAATCGGTAGCGGTATGGTATTACGAGTTTCAGTGGGGGAGGGTGACGGCAATCGGCGGTGGAAGCGAGTATGATGGTGATGGCTGGTATCCCGTTCTGAGAAGAAGTCGGCAGAGCGCAAGTCAATATGAGTGGACGGCGTAAATTCAAAGACTTGATTAGGAGCATTTGCACCTGTGGAGGTAACTAGATAAATATTTATATATTAAGCTCTTGTTTGGCGTGGATTATAATTAAATTTTTAGTAAATTTTAATTTGATAAAAATTAATGAAATGTAAATATGTGACTTAAATTAATTGTTGATTTTGACTTAGAATAAAATGAATTTTAATTTTTACCCATGGACTAAATGTGTCTGCTTGTTATAGTTCATCAATCACTTGATCTTCATTTTTTATCATTATTTTTAACCACACAGTCTTAAGATTTTATATTTTTTATCTATTTATTTAGTGCTTGTTCTTTGAGAGTCACTGTTTATAAGATGATCAAGTTCAAGAGATTTTCTATTTATGGAAAATATTTTATGTATAATAGAAGCTCACTATTTTGACTATTTAGTTTTTGCCAGTCAGTTCAAATCTAATTTTAATAATTTAAGGAGTAGAGTATTGAAATTGATTACTAATTAATCCAGTCATTATTAAGGCCCTATTTGGTATTGATTTAAATCATATTTTAATATAAGTCATAGTCAAGCAATTAATATTAATCACATATTTTATGGGTTCCATAATTTTTTAACCACGCATTTCAAAAATTCTATCAAAATCTATTAAAAATCTAATTTTAATCCGCACCAAACAGGGGTAAAGTAAGAATATGGAGTTGTTTTGACTTTCTCTATTTTTAAAAAGTCATAATATACAGTCTTTTGAAACTTAATAGAGAAAATTTTATATTTAGAGAATTCCTTGAAGGTGTTCTAAAAATTTAACAATCAAAGAATAAGAGCATCTCCAAGAAATTTTGTAAACATGATATGCTCTCTATTATAAAAAGTCAATCCTTAAAATCATATTCAAAAATACTTTTTAAATTAACATTTTAATTTCTAGAGTGGATTTGACTCTTCAAATTTGGAGAACAGAACTTACTCTTTATAATTAATGCATTCAAAGTATTTTAATTTTCAATGTAGAAAAATAATAAAATGATCTAGAGAAAAGTTAGTTAAAATAAAAGATAGAGAAAAAGAATAAATATTTTTTTAGAGTGGTAAAATTAAGTGTTAAATATAAAGAATTTATTGGAATACTTTAAAATTTTAACTTTCTAAATTTATAAATGTTCTCCAAATAATAGAATATGCTAGTTAAAAATAAAGAATCTCTTCGAGATGTTTTAATGCAATTCATTTAATGTCTAGATGATCATTGATATATGTCACATCGGGATTTCACTCTCCCATTGACCAACGTATGAAGAATAATTCTATCTAATATTAGTGATGTCTAGTACCAGTCTATGCGTGCATGGTAGATTCTATTAAATGTTATATATCCAAACATTTAATTGAACCAATGATTTAATGATAATACTGCTATCACTTAAACTAGGGTTAAATATTACACGTTATAATTAGAATTACTCAAATCTAAAAATGCATTCAAATTTAATTGGATAATATGGAAGTAACTTCACTATTACATAGATCGATAATCAACTCTAGATTAATAGTATTATTCACTACTAGGAACTAAAATAAATAATATTTAAAAAAAAAAAAAAAAACCGAATCGACATTAATCGATATTAATACATTATAGGCATTTTTGTTTAAATTTCAAATACCTCAAATTGTGAAGGATGATTTTAAGTTATAACAATTTTCTTGTGTTACGCTGCTTTTTTATTGTAACATCTTTGCTTATCATTGATCTCTTCTTTTTTTTCTTTTCACATTCTTATTATCAATTTTTTACATTAATTGATACATCTAGTCCATGATGATAGTTTATATCCAAGTATTTAATCAGTGTACTTTGAAATGACTTTCACGTTACTTTTTTTTATTTTAAAAATATAAGAAGTAGATAAGTTTTTTATGCCTTCTAACAGACATTTTGGATAGAAACCATCCTCAGAATAAGACGTGCTAAAAATTAATGGAAAGTTTTGGATAAGAATGGGAAGGAAAGAAAGTGGCAAGAATACAACCATGAGGAAAGATTGAAACATTTTAGTACAATTAAAATGTCTACATCCACAATGATTATCCGTGGAAGACATACAATGTCCAACTGACTGGACGTCAAGATAGTAAATATAATTAAATTGAAGGAAGAAATTAAATTTACATAATTTTAAATTTTTTTCCCCATATTTTCAAGTGCTTTTCAACATATTCCAAATTTGGGAAGAATGAATGTTCAAATTGAAGATATACAATTCACAGGAGAAAAGTATATTATTAACATAGAAATCAAAATTTTTATGAAATTTTATCTTGATTTGCTTCTGTACCCGTTTTGTGGCCTGAAATTTAAATTCTAACAATAGATCTTTCTCTTTAGTGGCATTAGTAATTATGTGAAAGCTCGTTCAAGAACGCATCTTGAAATTCAACTGCTCTTTTGAGGTTTAGACAAATCTAATTGATCTTTTGAGTTTAAAGAGCTTTGATATCATATTGAAATCTGGTTTATCTTAAAAGTACACATTGTTAGGGGGCTACCCGAGACCTCATATGGTATACAGTTATTTCATCTCTATTCGGTGTCGAATGGAATTATACCTTAAAGCCAGTTATTGACTTGTATCGATTGAGAACTTTATTACTTGTCTGATATTGCATGCAAAGTCTAAAGGTGGGACATAAATAAACACTTATCTCCATAATCTATTTAGAATTCAGAAATTCAAACCATTTATGGCCTTCTTTAGAAGCCCTTTATGATCTTTCTTACATCATTATTTCAAAAGTTTTTACTTTTATACAGCTATATAAACACCACTCCCTCTAATGACTTCATAGAAAAGGTATATAACCAATTCACCAAACACACTTTGGTTGGGAGATTACTGAAGCTAAAGTAATATCAATTATATAGGTTGCTTTCTCTTTAGTTATAAGAAAGCTAAGTCTTAGATAGCTTCTAATGATTCATATTTATACAGCATTTCTATTCCAATGCCTGTAACAGATTTCATATAGTTTAGAAATATAGGCACTTGGCCTTTTTTGTGACCTGGATTGTAATTTGTTTGTGCAGGAGACGGTTTCGGAACAATGCCGCCTATAGGGGTGCGACTGTACACTCAAGATCGACATGTAAGTTCATTTTCCTGCCCGAATATCCCTTTATTGATGTTTGCATGGGACAATGCATGTTTGCTGAAATTTGAACTGCTCACTTTCAGCTCTGTAATTCCATTTGTTGGATATAAGCATTTGTTTATATACTTTGACAAGTCAAGTTGACAAAAGCTCTGGTTTCTCCTATTTGATTTTTTCTTTTTTCGTATAAAATATTTTCGTGAAGTTGTTATCATTTGCTTCAGATTTAATGTACTAATACTGCTATTCTGAGACTTCCATTAATCTGCAAGTAAAATTGTGTTGTGAGCGTATTGAAACTATTTATTTGACAACGAACTCGAGGAAAATACTTGCTTCAAATGTATTTGATAAGATCTTCAGTAGATTTAGCTTTATTAAGATTTTGTTTCTTGCATTGTTAATTGGCACGGCATTGATATGCAGGTTGTGATTGACAATGGCATACTACAAGTTACACTGTCGAACCCTGAGGGAATTGTTACGGGAATTCGTTATAATGGTGTTGACAATTTGCTAGAGGTCCTCAATGATGAGTCTAACAGAGGGTAATTGCTTCTGAATCCTGTTTTTGCAGATGATTTACTCATCAATGTTACAAAATTTAATGATCAAGTGGAGTGTGAGTAAAGATTTTCAAAGGGCATTTGTAGACAGCTCAATTGATTTTATTTCCTCAAAACATTAAATATTTTAACATATACCATTTTTCCAAGTGAATTATACAATTTTAGAAATATTCACTTGAATTCATATGTTATTCAAATCTCCAAGATTTTGTTTCATTAACTTATTCTCGAATGGATTTGGAGGTACTGGGATGTTGTCTGGAATTCACCAGATGGAAGTAGCCGAACCGGATCATTTGAAGTGTATGTTCCTAGTTCCCACTTTATGCAGTCTCTTTTGTGCTTGAAAAGTTTATGTACTTGTTATAAATGTAAGAATTGCTCAAACATTTGACAATAATGTAGGATTAAAGCAACAAGTTTCAACATTATAAAGGAAAGCGATGAACAGGTAGAGGTGTCCTTTACAAGACCTTGGGATCCTTCGCTCCAGGGCAAGCTCGTTCCCCTGAATATAGATAAAAGGTCCTCTCTTTAATTCTTCCTTGCACAAATATGCACGACATTAATACAATTACAATCAGAAGGATGTGTTTGTAGGTTTATTCTGCTCCGAGGGTGCTCAGGCTTCTACACATATGCTATATACGAGCATGTTGGTTCCCCAGAATGGCCAGCTTTCAGCATTGGAGAAACGAGGATTGCTTTCAAACTTCGAAAGGATAGGTAGGATTTTATGCTAGGGGGCTAATCTTACGAAATCGAGCAAAAAAAATTTTGATTTTTCGGGCAATGCTCTTGATCAAGTATTGGGTATACCATATTAATCATTGCTAGGTAAAAGATAACAATGTGATGCTCAAAAAAGCTTTAATTTTTTTTTTTTTTTTTTTTTTTTTGGGGCTTCTTTTTTTCTTGTACGAACAAATTATGATACTTTTTTTTACCTGCCTAGGTACGTTGATGATGATTATATTCCAGCAAACAGTGCATATGTTGGATTGGCCCCTCCTGGGGAGGTTGGATCATGGCAAAGAGAATGCAAGGTTATAATAATTCAGTTCTCTAACTGATCCCCAAGATTCTGACATTCTTTTTAAGAAATTCTATAAAATTAAGAAAAAAAATCTCGACGTTAAGAAATGTTTTCTTGAACCATGAATTTTATATCTGAAATGTATACAGTTGATGACTTTAAGATACTTCAATCAGGACTACCAATTTTGGTGTAGAGCAGACGAAGGCGGCTATTTTTCGATAAATAATATACGTACGGGTAACTACAATCTTTATGCATGGGTCCCTGGCTTCATTGGAGATTATCGAAATGAAGTTGCCTTTACGATAACTCCAGGTCTTCTTTAATGCACTTATCAGTTTTTTCTCCTCTTGAAATTTTTTCAATTATACTGAATCTTCCGTGGTGACATAATACACAGGTTGTAATATAGAGGTAGGTGATATTGCATATGAGCCTCCGAGAGATGGCCCGACATTGTGGGAAATAGGCATTCCTGATCGTTCTGCTGCGGAGTTTTACGTTCCTGATCCTGATCCGAAATATGTTAACTTTCTTTTTGTTAATCATCCAGACAGGCTAGTTTAATTTGCCTTTATTTTACGATTTTTACATGTCCATACACAGTATAAAAAATAACGTCGTCTAGATTATGAAATCCTTGTATGAATAGGTTTCGGCAATATGGACTGTGGGATAGGTATTCGGAGTTGTATCCTGATGAAGACTTGGTATACACCGTTGGCTTGAGTGACTATCGAAAAGATTGGTTTTTTGCGCAGGTTAACAGGTGCATTTCTAACTATTTTTGTCGGTTTACTCGCACATTCCTTTGGTCTTATTAGTAAGTAATTATGTTTCTCTGAATGTTACACCAATGTAGGAAAAAAGATAACAAGTATGAAGGAACCACGTGGAAGATCAAGTTCAAACTCGACAGTGTCAACCAAGCCGGAGTTTATAAACTGCGCGTGGCACTTGCATCTGCAACCTTAGCTGAACTTCAGGTAAAACCCGTCGTCAGATTCATATAATCGTGCCTGAGAAATCATATAACTAAACTCTGATTGAATTTCTTCTAGGTTCGAGTTAATAATCCAAGTACAAATCGGCCATTATTCTCAAGCGGATTGATTGGGAGGGACAACTCAATTGCAAGACATGGAATTCATGGATTGTATTGGCTTTACAGTGTAGACATACAGGGAGCTATACTTGTGGAAGGGGACAATACTGTGTACTTGACACAACCAAGGAATACAAGTCCTTTCCAGGGACTCATGTATGATTACATTCGACTCGAAGCTCCCCCCAACTAGACATTCAGATGTCCTCTCTACAGAGAGAGAGAGAGAGAGAGATGTTATTTTAGAAATAAAGAAACAACAAATAAATGAACGCGTTTAATCTTTGCAATGTATATTGTTATGTACATACACTATGGTTATCCTTTCTGTAAAAGGAGGAATTGAAAATATTATGCATATTGAAAGTTATGTATCTTACAAGGAATAAGATCAGCGAACACATTCTAGGAAACTATATTTGGACAATCAATCAAAAGTTAATGTTTATTATAATCTCATAGTTAGCTAGCCTCATTCCCATAATTATGAAAATATGTAATATTTTCTTGTAATACTCCCCTCAAGTTAGAGCGTGGATGTTGGGAACGCCAAACTTGCTGAGAAGGGAATGAAAAATTGATGAACAGAGGCTTTGGGAACAAATTGGCAAGCTGACAGGCTGATGGAATATGATTAGTTACTATGGCTCCTGACTGAATTCTCTCTCAAATAACATGGCAGTCAATCTCTATATGCTTGGTGTGCTCGTGATATTGGATTAGCAGCAACGTCGAGTGCTGCTTCACTGTCACGTAATAATTTAGCCAGTTGAGGGTGCTCTACCTGCAAGTCATCCTACAAATATTTGAAAAAGGTAAGCTCACAAATAATGGAGGCCAATAGCTCTATATTCTGATTCTCTTGAGGATCTTGATACTTTGTTTGTTTCTTGGTTCGCCATGAAATAAGAGCTCCTCCAAGAAAAATGCAATACACAATCACAAACACTCTTGTGATTGAACATTGAGCCCAATCTATATCACAAAATCCCTTTAGTAGCAAATTCCTTTGATTGGAACATATAATCCTTGCCTGGGTGTAGCTTTAAGATATCACAAAAGGAGATGGACAACATCTAAATGAGGCTTTCTTGGTTCTTGCATAAATTGGCTTGAAAAGTCTACTTGTATATATTTTTTGTACATCGGGGTGTCCACCCCCCTCATATGGGGTGGGACCCACCTCACGCAGGCCCCACCTCATGTGAGGGTTGTGGATACCCCTATGTGCAAAAATTATTTGCTTCTAGCAAATCCCAGTTGGCTTTGTAATAGTAGGAAAAATGAGTATCCCCACCCGTCTTCAATAAGTGAATGAATACTTCAATGTATCTCCCATTGTGTGCACGAGTTTAATATTTTCTTCAGTATGTGTTATCAATGGTTAGGCCCCAAGCAAGCCTGCTTCCATCTAAGATATCAAGAGTGTACTTCTGTTGGGATATTGAAATGCCATCAATAGAACAAGCAACTTCAACACCATGAAAATATAGTAATTGGCCAAGGTCCTTCATGCGAAATTTAGTGCGGAGAGACTCATTGAGAACAGCAATTGCATTGTCATCATGCCTAGTTATGATCATGTCATCTATATAGATGGGCATGACTGCGAACAAATTGCCTGAGGTCTTTGTGAAAAGAGAATAATCAACTTTAGATTGATGAAAATATCTTGCTCAATTGAAGAAGAAAAGTTCTGGAACCAGCTACGAGAGGCTTGTTTAATCCTATATAGTGACTTGTTGAGTCAACATACCATAGTTGTCTTTCCCTTTGGACGAAAGTTGCATATAGACTTCATCAAGCAAATCACCATGGAGGAATGCAATTTGAACATTTGATGGAGTAACCAATTCCGGACAGCAGCTATAGCAAGTAAACAACAAACTGTAGTTAACTTTGCCACAAGAGCAAAAGTCTCCTTGAGTCAGTCCCTTCGCATTGAGTAAATCCTTTAGCCGCTCAACCATGTCATCGAAGTTATATTTAATCTCGTACACCTATTTGCACCCAACTGTGCGATGATTAGAAGGGAGAGCTGGGATCGTCCAAGTATTCTTTTGTTCAAGAGCATGAATTTCTACAGCCATAATTTCCTCGCATTTTGGATCCAACGCTGCCTGGTCACAAGTTACGGGGTTCCCCAAGAGTGGTGATAGCACAAACAAAATATGATATTTAGGGCTTGTTTGAACCATATTATTTTTAAAAAAATACATTTTTCAACGGTGGTTTGACATCATTTCTATCACACATTTTTCAATAAAATAATATTACACGCAAATCTAAAATTTTTCCTTATTTTTTAACCACACATTTCCCATTAATTTGACATAAATAATGTATTTTTACTTAAATGTGGCTCAAACATGGGCTTAAGTGAAAATTGTGCATAAGAAATATGTTGGAAAATAATATATTGAATTAATTTATTAAAGTTAATAAATTAAAACAATACATTCAAGTTGAATGACATTATAACAATTCATAGATTTCAAGTGTAGTCAATTCTATTATTAATTAGTATTTGAATTGGTTCAAATCCATAATCAATTCGTGGTTACAAATTCACTCATGACTATTTGTTGCATTATTTGTATTAAATACAAAATTAATTAAGAATTTAAAACTTCCCTCATTCTAGTACTATATAAGGAAGTGTTCTCCTATTTATTCTTCACACCAAAAAATTTGAGAGTTTTTTCTTCACTTTAAGTTTCTCTATTCTCCGTGTTTCAAGAGTTTAGTTCTTTATTTTAGTTTGGTGATAGAATTGTAAGCATTCTTAGTTAGCCTAAATTAGTGACGATGTGTTATTCAACTATTTTCAACCATTATATCATGAGAAACAGACGTCATCATTTCTCTTGCACCACGGTGGGAGGCGAATTTATTTTGAGAAAACTATGTGCAACATAGGTCTCAGTTCCTTTCAATACCGCTTCTTTTTCAACTACCATTTCCTCTCATTTTTATTGTTAATCTATTTATTGATGTTTCCTTCCATTATTTTATTTATACAATCTCAATAGTATTTATAATTTCTTTTTTGTATTTTTTGTAACATCTTAATATAGATTCAACTTAAATAACGAAGGAGGTGTTGCATTTTAAAAAAAAAAATATTACTGTGAAAATAATTCTCCACACATTTATAAAATCTTGAAAACTAGAAGTTACGATATGGTGAAGTTCTGTCTAGGAGGTATGGTTTTAAGTGGACCATTTGTGACCCCTCCAGCCATCCTAAAAACTGAATATTTTCAAATGAGGCTAGACTTGTTGAGGCTGGACTTAGACCCCTCTAGTCTTCTTTGAAAATTATCTATAGAGTGATATTCAATTACCCGAAAAAGATATCTTGTTTAAAAATAAGCATTTTTATTTTAGAAAATTAGCATATTTTCAGTATTGAGAAAATAGCATAAGTTTCAAGTGAAAAATTAGCATATTTTCATAATGAAAATAGCATAATTTTAAAGTTATTTAAACAATAGCATAATTTTGAAATTAAAGCAACTTACCTGATATTTCAAAAATGGCAACCTAATTAACTAACATGGATGTGGCCCATACTGTGGCTATTGTGGGGTCGGCTGTGGCTGAAGGGCTAAGTTCTGTTATGACTAAGGCTCTAGCTAAATTGCCAAGTTATGATGTGCTTCAAACTGTAGTTCCAACAAATGACCATACTATAATTATTCCGGTTAATCATGGGGAAAAATTAGAGAACTTTAATGGTTTGAATTTCAAAAAGTAGCAACAGAACATCTTATTCTATCTTACTATCTTGAATTTCGCGAGTTTCTTGACCGAGAATGCTCCGAAACTCTATAAGGGTGAGGGGGATGTCCAAGCTATTAGCACGCTTGATGCTTGGAAACAATCTAATTTTTTGTGCCGCAATTATGCCATGAATGACTTGGCAGATTCGCTATACAACATGTATAGTACGATGAAACTGCTAAGGAATTGTGGGAAACAAAAATATAAGATTGAAACTAAGAAATTTATCGTTGGAAAATTCTTATATTATAAGCTGGTAGACTCCAAAATAGTAATCAGTCAAGTACAAGAACTCTGTGATTTTACATGAAATTTATGTCTAGGGGATGAATTTGAGGAAACTTTGGAGCAATCACTGAAAAAGGTACCTCTGGTTTGGAAAGATTTGAAAAATTATCTAAAATACAAGTTAAAGAAAATGAACATAACTATGACGACTGAGTTGTATAAGGAAGAAGCCCGTTGGAGTGTGTCATCGTTTACATAAATGACAGAATAGTTTAAGGACATTATGTCTACTAATCAGTTAATAAAATAAACAAATCTACACAAGGGAATGTTCAAAGGATAACACTTACCTATTATATGCAGGTTTCTACCATTGAATTCTATCCCCATGTCTGTCTCTCATTGTTGTTAATTTCATTCATGTGGAGGATTATTGAAAAATAATATATTAAATTAATATATTAAAACAATAGATTAAAGTTAATATATTAGAACAATATATTCAAGTTGAATGAAATTTTTATAACAATTCATAGATTTCAAGTCTAATCAATTCTATTGTTAATTTGTATTTGAGTTAGTTCAATTTCATTATAAATTTGTGGTTACAAATTCATTCGTAGCTATTGTAACATTATCTGTGTTAAAATACAAAATTAACTAAGAATTGAAACCTCCCTCATCTTAGCACTATACAAAATTAACTAATAATTTGAAATTTCCCTCGTCCTAGCACAATATAAGGAGGTGTTCTCCTCATTATTCTGCACTCCAAAAAATTTAAGAGTTCTTTCTTCACCCTAAGCTCCTTTTTTCTCTTTGTTTCAAGATTTTAGTTCTTAATAACTTAGATAAATTATTTCTTTGTTCTAGCTTGATGATAGAACTGTGCATTCTTAGTTCGCCTAAAGTAGTGATAATGTGTTAGTCAGTTACTTTTAACCATTGTATCTTGGGAGATAGATGCTATCAGTCCTCTTACACTATAATGAGGGCGAATCTGTTTTAAGAAAATTGTCTACAACACAAGCATCGATTACTTTTAATACTGTTACTATCTCAACGATCATTTTCTCTAGTTTTATTGTCACTCTGTTTATTGTAGTATTTCCTTCCATTATTTTATTTATACAATTTTAGTAGTATTTCTAATTTTCTTTTTGTATTTTTTTCTAACAAAATATTTCAAGTTAAATGATGATACGTACCTGACGAAGGAGAAGACTGGCTAGGAACAACATTGGACGTATGATAGAGATGAAAATTTTGAAGTTTGATCTTGGTTGCTTAATAATCAGAATAGCAAGTAGTAAAAGGCGATGATGGTGGTGATATGATGGTGTCATGGTCAAGTACTAGGAATTTAAGGCACACACAATTGAAGAAGATAATGTTAGTGAAT